TTATTTTATATTATATTATTTTATTTTATATTTTTGTCATTTTGGGGAAGGGTATACAGGGTGTTCAGGGTCTCACTACTAGATTGGACTTAGTGATTCACCGGTTTACATCCCCAAAAGAGCTGGGATTACAGGCAGACCCAGGGATCAAACCCACAACCCCTGCTCCTGCTTGCAGGCACTTTAATCCACTGAGTTAGTTGGCTGGCCCTTTTATTTCTTTTTTATTTTAAAGAAGGAAAAAATAACAAAAAATAAGAACAAGGTCAAAAATAAAGCAATATGAAACAATAAAAATGGTTCAGAACTTTAAAACAATAGAAAATTGGCAATGGTTGTTATAATACATATAATTATCATCAAATTTGGTGCCCAGATCACCAGATGTAGGTATGCAAGATTGATTAAACAATTAACCATTAACTCTTTCTCCCACTACACATTAACTTTTCCTTGTCCTTCTTACTTTTTAAAAAAATTATTTCAACGGGAGTATAAAATTAACAGATGAGACATTAAAGGTGATACACGTTTAAAAGTACAGGTGAAGGATATTCAACTGTGGTTAATATACTGCACACTGCTGTCCTCAATGAAGTTAATCATATTACAGATAGTAGCATATAGAGTTGGTTTAAGTAAAATTTTAAACATTAATTCTTTAAAAATTAGTACTGTATTTATAATGTTTACTGTGTGCCTGACATGTTTAATAAGCATTTAACTCACTAAAATGACACAAAAATTATTGAAGACATACAATTAATCTCATTATTATGGATAAAAAAGTGATAGAATGAAGAGGTTAATAACTTTCTCCCCAAGTCATCGCAAACAAAAGAAATATGAATCCACAGTTTTTGCGTACCTTTGTGCTACCTCCTCTGAACTAATGTCTCACTGTTTTTCATGTCTGCTAATGTTCTGGTTGTCTACTGTATTGACACACATTCATTCTAAAGTGACATTTTGAGCCTTAACCAAGTCATTCATGAGAAAGTTATACACACATGAAAGTCATACACATAAATGTATCAGCCCAGGGGATGGAGGGACAAGGCCAAAGATCAGACAAGAGATTGAACGAGAATGACCAAGCCACTTGAAAGTTACTCTGGCCCCAAACACTCCATTAGCACTTGTCAGCATTATCCCTCACAGAAGGAAAAAGGAAATTAGGTGCAGTTCTATTTTCTCTGAAGGTTTCAATTTTACTCAGTAATGTCAAATGTAGTACACAATGCATGTACACTACATTTTCATGATTTATGAAAAACTGAGCTTTCATAATTCTAATGATTTCTGCTGTTTCAGAAATGTATCAGTGATTCATTAATAAACTGGGGACAGAAGTGTGACATACACAACTATTACTGCAAATTTAATCAGAGTGTATCTGCTGAAAAGTATTTGGCTGATTTATTTAAAGTGTAGATATGCATCAAGAACAGCACTCCTGCCATATTAAGTTGTTAGAGCTATATTTAGAGAAAGTGCACTGATTCTAATACACAAAGTTTAAGAACCATGTGATCAGTAAATAAATCTTTAGGGATGGTTTTCAAAAACGAAACAACTCAGTGCTGAATCTTTTCCTCAAAGGTCTGTCCTCTGCCAACAACATAATTTGATATATACTTTTTACTTGGCCTGGAAATTTAGATATTATATGCTTTTCAACACTCACAGGACAGAAATTTGGTTTTGTGATTGTTTCCCATTGAAGTCAATTTTTCACCAAGATTTTCTTTATACCATTTTTCACCTCTGCATTTCTGAGAGTGTAGATGAGAGGGTTTAACATAGGTGTTATCATGGTATAAAATACAGCCACAGCTTTATCAAAGGAGAAAGTGCCCACTGGGCGCAGGTACATAAATGTGCAGGGTACAAAGAACAAGGTGACTACGGTGATATGAGAGGCACAGGTGGAGAGGGCTTTATGCCTGCTCTCCAAACTGTGAGACTTCAAATTGTACAGGATGATTACATAAGAGACCATTAGCAGGAGGAAGTTCAACAGGCAAATGAAGCCACTGTTGGCAGTGACAAAGAGACCAACACTATGGGTGTCCATGCAGACAAGTTTCAACAAAGGGTTCAAGTCACACATAAAGTGGTCTACCACATTGGGGCCACAAAAAGGAAGCCAGACAATGAAGAGAATCTGAATAGCTGCATGGACAAAGCCTCCAGCCCAAGCCACTCCCAAAAGGAGGCTGCATACCTGTCGGTTCATGATGATTGCATAGTGCAGGGGTCTACAAATGGCCACATAGCGATCATAGGCCATCACTGTGAGAAGAATAATCTCAGAACCACCAAAAAGATGTTCAACGAAGACCTGAGTCATGCACTCACTAAAAGAGATGGTTTTTCTTGGAGTCAGAGAGTCAGCCAGCATCCTTGGAGTCATGGATGAAGAATAGCAAATGTCTATAATGGACAAAAAGGACAGAAAGAAGTACATGGGGGACCCTAGGGTCCTGCTGGTTCTGATGGTGATCACAATGAGTGAGTTGCCCACCAAGGTGAACAGGTAAACAATTAAAAACACAGTGAATGAAATTTTCTGGAGTTCCTCATTTTGGGTCAACCCCAACAAGATGAACTCAGTCACATTATGCATCTTCACTGTCAATGTAGTTAGTGCAAAAATGATTATCCTTAAAAAAAAAAAGTAATATCCATTCTCAAGAGGAGTTTCATTGAATGAATAAATATGTTTTTGAAAGCTTTATTTTTCTAGTTTTATAAGAAGACAAGGTAAGCAGAAAACCACATTAAACTTTTGTTTGAGACCCAGATTCACTATGTATCCTGTTCTGGCTTCTAGATGACCATGTACCCCAGCCTGACCTCAACCTTGTGATTCTTCAGCCTCAGCCTTCCAAGTGCTAGGATTATAGGCGTTTGTCTTGACTCCTGGCTTCAACTTTATTTTTCATAATCTATACTTGACAATTTGAGTGTTCTTCTTTTGTTCTTTATAACTTCCTTGCTGTTTTCAATTTTTTACAGCAAAAAAAAAAAAAGAAAAGAAAATGCACAAATCAGAAAAGTAAAGGACCATTACCAGCCTTCATGACACAATCCATATTCTGGCAATATATACAACAGAGAGAGAGAGAGAGAGAGAGAGAGAGAGAGAGAGAGAGAGAGAGAGAGAGAGAGGCATAGAGGCATGTATTTTACTTGAGATTTTGTGGACATACTGACCAGAGACATTTCAATTTTTCTTCTAATTAGAAGTCGTACAGAAACACTCAGGGACAAAGATTTCTTCATGAGCTGTGCTTCTTTCTCCTGTGCATAACTGAAATTCTCTCAGCTTCCTTAGCACTGTAAGTGATGCTGTGCCATCTTTTCTCTTTGTTGTGATAAACGTCCACAACAGCACTTGCAGTGAGGACTCCTGTTCATCTCTACGTTCAACACCATGGATTTCTGAAGGCAAAAAGTGTGCCTTGTTGCATTTACAGTCCTATTTTTATATCTGCAATGCTGACCAATATGTAAATATTCATCAAGCACTTACTGGCAGTGGGAGAAGAAAACTAGAAGGAAAAAGAAGCAGAAAACTTTAGAGAATAAAGAGGAAAGTGATGTTTAAAAGGCACTAAAGAACAAGCAAAGAGAAGCGAGCCTAAAACACAAAACATAGTTTGGAATCCTGTGTCTAACCCCGGTAACTATAAATATTAATTCGTTTTATGTCTCTACCCTTTTTTTGCCTGTTGATAGAAAGAAGATATACTTTTAACACCATTGTGAATATAAAGTAATTTTTGCTTGACACAATTGTTATCTTTTGCAAATGCCACTAAAGAAAACTTTAATGACATTCTCTATATAACTCTAAAACACAAATATCTGACCACTTCTGATGATTGGGAAAGAAGAAAGATAAGGACAAATATCCAAAATAAAGATCATCAGATTAAAAAGAGAAAAAGAAAGAAAAGAATGAAAAGGAAGAGAGCAAAATAAACTATTAACACAAGTGTTTATGATTATTTCACTTTTTTGTTTGTGAGAGTTATTGTCATTTCTCTTTAATAATTCTTTTGCTTAAAGTATGCACAAATACAATGAAAAATATTTGCTTTAAAATTTGACTCAAACCCATTTTACTATTCAAATAATTGCTTAGAGGAGCCTATTTCTCTGGGTGGGACTAGACATTATTAACAAAAACTTTTAAGCAATGCAAAGGAAGGGGACAAGGAAAGTGGGGAACAGAACAGAAAGGAGAAAATGAGGTGAAGAGAAAGGAGAAGGAAAGATAGAACAGGAAAGGAAAACAGAGGTGCAAATGATTAAAAAAAAGAAAAGGGGGAGAAAGAGGAGCATAGTGTAATGAAAGGACTTTTTTAAGGACATGATATATTATTTCAAATAAATGTTCATCTTAACCAAATTCACTTATTGCGTGTATGTCGTTTAGTATAAGTATCAAAGAAAATATTGACAAATCAATGCCATGGATTGTTTTTCCATGCAAACTACTAAACAGAAAAGGTTTACTTTCAACTTAACATTGAAAGTTACATCAGATGGTTCCCCATAGACACAACAGAACTCAGAAAAGACTGCCTAAATTTTCTATAGCATGAACTGTGTGTAACTGTAAAAATAGTTATATCAATTTAGTATAAGAAAGAAATGAGGATAGATACAGACAGACAGAGACAGAGGCAGAGTTAGAGACAGAGATAGACATAGAGAGAGACACAGAGATCCACCAAAGGAAAGACTAATGTTTTCAGAATTGAAAACCCTGATGTAAGAAAAAGAGAAGAGAATTTTGCTTCTCTTACCCATGCTTACCACATTCTGCTTGTTCACGCCCCCTCAGGCTGGCCTGATCTTATTCAGTTAAGAAACTTCAACAGAGTGCAGATGCATTAGCATCCAAATTGTATAAATAGAATTTGGATTTGCAGAAAAGGGGATGACAAGGTTTACATAAATTTTTACACAGGAATTGAGCTGATAGTGCTGCTATAAGCTCCAAAACTAAACAGTCATTTTTAAAGCAAATTTAGCTACCAAATACCAGCAGTTGATAAAAGGATCCCTGTATGGCATATTTTCTGAAAATGATTCTTGTAGTGTTTGCTTTTTGCTTAGTTGGTTGGATTTTTCTTGATTCTTCCCATCAGTGCCTAATATGTAGCCACATTTCTGGTCCTTGGAACTTGGGCTTCCTTGTCCTAAAACATCTTTGGAACATCTAAATCCTACACATGTCTAGAAGAACTGCCTTTGAGATTTTCTCTGCGCAGAATCCCCTATAGCCCACAACTTCTCAGTTTCTTTGGTTCTCACAGATAAATACCTGGCTTTTCTGCAATGGTGGAACTTCCTTCTAAAATAAATACTCCAGAAAAGAGCAATTAATTGCAGTAACCTTTGCCAAAATGTCAATCAAACTTTTCTCTTACCCTTGAATTGTGTCTCTGCTGATAAATAATGTTCTTCATAAATGTTTAGAAATTTATATGACAAACCCAAAATAAAAGTATAAAAAAACTAAAAGGTGGGTAAGAGTAAGTACGGAGTGGCAAAGGCAAGTGAAAAGAGGCCAAGAGACCCACAAAGCTGTATAAAGAGCAGAAGAAGTTGAAAAGGGAACCAATTTATGTTATGTACATGGTACAATTCCCAGAGAGGAATGACAGTGATCACTATGTACTACAAACATGTAAGGATAAAAAGTAAAAATTGAAGAAAAAAAAGGACCTAAATTAAATAAGAGTTAGAACTCATCCACAAGGCTGAGATAATTATTAAATGATGGTTAGAAGTTGAATGATTTATCTCTTTCATGGATAAATTTTCTTTAAACATCTAAAATGCAGCAGGCATGAAGTTGTTCAGTAGTAATAACAACTAGTTATTCAATACCATAAGCCAAGTTCTGTATTAAACATGCTACGTGCATTGTAGTGGGTGATAGTAAATATTTATACCATTTCATAAACCGAGTCACAAGTAGTTTAATTAATTTACCCAATATCAAAATTTAATAAGGGGCAGAGCAAACATTTAAATTCCAAAAGTCAACCTTCCACCAAAGCAAAGTGCATACATCCTCATACTACAAAACTTCAAGTATTATATAAAAAGATAATGGTGAGCCCCATTTTTCAAAAAAATGACTGTATGCTGCATGTATGTGTGTCCAGTCAGAGTGGATGGAAGTGCACAGGAAGATTTTCTTAGGGAGATGATGTTGAAGTTAAAGCCAAAAGGCTGATATGAGACAAATGACTGGTACTTGGAGAGGCCAGGCTTTGAATTCACCTGGACCACCTCTCCTGGCGAGAGTGCAAAAGCTACCTGTAGCAGCCCTTTCTGTGCATTTTTAGTCTTCAGTTTAAAACTCAATCCTCTTGTCCAAAAAATTTCTAGGGTGGGCTGTGGAGATAGCTCAATATTCTAAAAGCCTACCTGGCAAACACAAAAAAAAAACTGGGTTTAATCCCTAATATTATGCTGGCTCAGGAACTGGGCATGGTGGTGCATGCTTTTAATCCCATTGCTGGGAAAGCTGAGACAGAAGGATCACCACAAGTCTGAACTGCTTAGTGAGACCTTGTATGAGAGAGAAGAGAGACAGACAGACAGACAGACACAGACACAAACAGAGACAGACAGAGAGAGAAAAACCCAAATATTTTGAGAGTATTATGATTTTTCTCTGTTAGTCTCAATTACATGGCAATACCTCAAGCAGAATTGCTCAAATGTATGGAACAAATGAAGACTTCCAGCTGTAATAGATCAGCCACCCATAAAGCAAGGCAGTCATTAAGAAATTGAGTAGGGGACACACTGAACGAGAAAGGACAAATGTCTAACATGTGATGAATCAATAAGATTTCAAAACTGAATTAAAGTACTTCACCTTATTCAGCCATATTTTTCTAATCTTAAAAATCCACATATATGGTAATAGGTGCAACTAACTTGAAGGCAACACTACTAAATACAAGCACTGTGAGATTCACATTATTTTGTTTAGTGAAATTCTGTATCATTTGAAATTTTTCTCTTTAAATACTATTTGCAATGTCTTAGAAATAAAAAAGGTAAGCCTGTAATCTCAGCTCTTGGGAGACTGTAAACAGGTGGATCACCATGAATCCGATCTGGTAGTGAGACCCTAAACACTCTGTAGACCCTTCTCTAAAATAAAAAATAAGATAAAATAAAATAAAAAATAAAGTTAAAATGTGAAATTGATTTGCTGGGATTGTTCCAAGGATTAATTAAATTCTTAGAAACAAATTAATAAAGGCACATATTTTGAACTAGCTTGAAAAACACCCACATTCTCAAACCTTAGATGAAATTTCAATAGTAGATTTAAGAATCCATTTTTAAGCAAATAAAGACATTTAACTTCTTAGATATTCCTCATGTACTGTTTCCTACCATAGGCCAACTTACCTAAACATTCCATCTCCCTAGACCTGTTTGCCCTATAGGTACCTAGGGCTGTATCTTGATGTACCTTCTCTACATTTAGACAGCAAGCCCACTGTTGCATCACAGGTGATGTCTATTGCTAGAAGTGTGGAAAGTTTGCACACTTTCAGCAGTAGTGAAAAGCTTCTATGGAGACTC